AGCCAGGAGCCTGTGACTTTCCCAATATATAATGTCTTTTTCACACTTCCCTCGCTCTCGCCGGAGCAGCTGTTTTGCAGCGGGAGGTTTTGGGTGAAGTTGCAGTTGGTTTTGGGAGCGGTTTCTATCGCTGACTGAGACACCAACATGTTCCACAGCAGCCATGTGTCACAACCAGGCAGGAGATGTCACCTGCTTTCTCAAGGAACACCTTATAATATGAAAAAAGATCAGTGTGTTTAATGTTCCCTCCCGCAGGCTTTGAAGGAAAGGGAAATAAAACCAATTAGAGGAATCCATTCAATTTTCAGTTGTCCTTTATCAGCTAATAGGAGAAAATAAAGAAAGATGGACAGTCCTTGGTGGTGGCATGAGAGGTGGGGGCACAGGAAGCTTTCCCAGCTCTTCCATAGATCCTGTACATGTGCCTGGTACTTAATGTGCCTCTTTCTCCGTTCCTCGTCTCTAACACATGGCTAATCATGTTGCTGTGTTTCAAAGGAACGTTGTGCAGAAATATTCATTAGTGCCTCCGGAGGTGCTCGGTTGCTATGGAGATGGGGATCCTGATAAATGCAGAGACTGAGGGAGCTTCGGCGGAGATTTGGAGCTGCTGGGAGCTGCTCTGCGCCAAACCGCACCGTACCGCGCCGTGCCGCGCTCCCCTGACTGACACAGCTTCAAAGGGACGGCGTCAAGCCCGCGGTGGCCAGAGACGGCCGCGGAGCGAGGCCCAAGGGTCCCCGCACACGTCCCCAGTCCCCGTTGCTGGTGGCCCATGAAAGAGCAGCCAGCGCAGACTTATCCAGAGCTCCTTGTATTTTGGGGTGAAAACACTACATTTTCTTTCTGGTGTTTTCTTGCTTACAGCACCGAGAGCTCTGTGGAATATGGTGCAGGCAGAGCTATGCTAATATCCCTGTCTAAAAAGAGACTTGTGACAGCCAAGATACATTTCAGTAAGACCATCTACTATAAACCACAACAAGTTTAGGGTGACCCCTGTTTCTCTCCTGGCGTTCCTGCTAATGGAGGAATATTTGGCTGCAAAACTCTGACTCCGTATTACCTCTGCGTGGGCAGCTCTGCAGCTCAGCGGAGGAGAGTCCGGCAGACACAGGCTCCAAACTGGGGAAGGATGTGTGATACTTCAGGAGAAACTTGGAGCCTCCCAGGTCACCTTTACAGCTTCTTATGGAACTCGGTGTCCGGTTCTTATCATCACAGGAGTCAAGACCCAGGAACAACAAAATAGAGACCTTATCAGTGTGTCAATAGTGATTTTATTCTGTTGAAAACCAATTTGCAACACATAAAACAGTCATGAAGGAAAGGCAGAGAGAGAGGAAGACAATTCCAGGTTTTACTCACCGGTGGAAAGGTTCTCTCTCTGTTTTAGCATTGCAAATTGTCCCTGGGGCTGTCCACGTACCCTGTCCCTGGAGCCAGCGATGGCACACGCGAGAAAGCCTGGATCTTTCCTGGAAGAGGGAGACACGTAGCTATGATTCCTTGCTTCCTTTTTTTCCGTGCCCTCTCCACTTGGGAACTGAGCCTCCAGTTTGTTGCTTACCTTTTACAAGCGCCTGGTGACTGAGCGCAGTGACACTGCATAGAAATACCAGGCATTGGGGCATTTCTTCCATCTCCGGACTCTGTTAACTCAAATTTCTCTTCCAGAAGACACAGTGTTAAAGCCTTTTGAACTGTGTATCCTGAAAAGCGACCAGAGAGCGTGTAAGAGAAGTCGAGGACTGTAGTAAGGTGGAACAAGCAAAACACTCATTTGGCTTCTTCAGGAGAAAAGATCACCAAAAGGACACCGATATGCTAAATTCACTCTGGTTCCTGTCACCTTCAGTGCTGTTGCAGCCATGGCAGTTTTGGGGTGAGGAAAGGAGGAGAGTCTGACTGGGCTGAAACCAGGAGAAGAAGGTGAAGGTGATGGCCGTGTCCCTCCTAGTCCTCAGTGCAAGAGAGCACCAAAATGAGGGTCACGACATCAGGGAGATAGAAGTGATGGGGTGAAGTGGGATGAAATTCAGCGCGGCAATGTTTAAGGTTATGCACTTGGAAACTAAAACCAACAGTTTCTTCTACAGTCTGGAAAAAATCTCAGTCGTGTCGGTGAATCATAGGAAGGCTATGAGCAGGAGCTGGGCGCTGTGATGTTGGAGATAAATGAAATCCTAGAATGCAACAAGAATGCGCATTTCCCGTCAAGATGGGAAACGGCTCGTTTGTAACCCAAGACATTGGGAGAATCACCTGGAAAACACTGTGCTGCTGCTCTGGGTGGGATCTGAGCCAGACAGGCAGAGAAGGTAATTAGGCTGACGAGGAAAATCTTATGAGAGCTTATTTTACAGAAGATTACTTCTTGCTTGGACCAGCAAAGAGCGAGGCCTGAGAGCAGGCAGTGAATATTAGGAGGATGATAAAGGATGAAGAAAAAAGGATGAAGTTGGCAGCACAACGAATGGGTACAAAATGCTGAGCATGGGGTAAAGCTGCCTTCAGACTTGGAGAGAGGAGCCCATCTGCCTCTGTCCCTCTGGGAGAACTTCCAGGTGCCAGGAACCTTCTTTATGGATTAGGTTGATGGAAAGTAGGTGCCTCCAGCCAAAGCCCAGGCTTAGGGCACTGCCTGAACCAGAAACAGGAGAGACTCAGGAATTCAGTCTGTGCAGAAGGAGGGATGTCTCTGGGGTTTGGCGAGGGGAAATGGGAGCGTTGTGATGAAGAGCAGCCGCAGAAACACCCCTGCAGAGGAACAAGGAATCAGCTCTGATAAAGCGACCCAGGGACGGTGCTGGGGTCAGGCTTTGCAGAGCCTCCTGCTTCCTCCCCGCTTCAAAAGCACCGGACTTGGCACATCCTTCGTAAAGAAACCAGTCCGCACCAGCGACATAACCCCCCACCACTTCTTTCCCGAAGGGCCGTGCGCTTTGGCTAATGGCACAGATCCTGGAGAGCAGCGGGATAAAGACAAAATCTTTCACCGGGGTGGGCGCTTTATTGCCGGTTTCAGGCAAGAGCTGTGACTGTCACAGCAGAATCTCTGCCCTCCTGTAACGGAGGAGACGCCCCGTATCTTCAGAGCCACGCTGACCTCTTTGGTAGCCCTCCGGCACCGATGGGCACATGCTAGGGCTCTGCCTCCCCCACCCCCAGATCCCCAGCCTGCCAACTTGTGCATTTTTGCGTGTTTTCTCACTAGGTTGGCCCATTGCCTTTAAAAGGCTAAATGCTCCGGACTAAATTTGGTCATGCAGCTCTGCATGGTTCCCTGGAATGTCCTCGGGTTTCAGGCTCCTCTGATAGCACCATTCCCCGCCTCCCGCTGGGCTCCATTGGCTTCCCAGCACCCGAATCGCGGCTGGATCCTGTTATTGGCCAACTCTTGGACCGAGGGGTGTCCCCTCTTTATAACTATTATATCCCGGGCTGCAGCGATCGAGAGCTGCTGAGATTTAACACTTCAGCACCTGCTGCCGCTGGGGGAAGCAGTGTTGGAGCTTCGGCTTCTTTTTTTTTCTCCTTCCTTGGGTACCACACACAACCGCAACCGTGTCTCGCCAGCGAGCCAAGATGTCCAAAGTGGCCAAATATCGGCGACAAGTTAGTGAAGATCCAGACATTGACAGTTTGTTGTCGACTCTGTCTCCAGAGGAGATGGAAGAGCTGGAGAAGGAGCTGGATGTGGTGGATTCGGATGGAAGCATCCCTCTGGAGCTCAGTGAGAAAAACCAAACAGAAAATTCCCCACCTGGCCCACAAAACTGCGACGCAGTGCTCAATCACTGCGAAAAGGAGAGCAGGAAACTTATTCAGAGGGAACACTCCATAGACGTAAGTCGCATCTCCCCGCGCTTGAGCTGGTTTGGGGACAAATGCGGGGGCATGCCTGTGAATTCTGCTGGGCTGTTTTAGGGGACGGGATGGAAAACACGAACCCCGAGAAGGGCGTGCTGAGCTTGCTAAAGAGGAATAGCTGTCAGGTAGAGACCAGAGGAGCGAGGCAGGGAGCTGGTCCAGGCGCGCCGGGAGGGAACAGGCTATTTCATGAAATCCCGGTGCTACTTGCAAAGCCAAAACCTGTGCTGGTGCCGGGGATTTTCTCTCTGCCTCTGCTCTGACACCCTTTGGCAGGGCTGGGAGCAGACACGGTACCCCCAGACAGCGGCTGGAGGGGCTGGTGCAGTGACACCGATCCCGCAGGCTGCATTTCTTTTTCCTCCTGTTTTTTTCCTTTGGAGATCTCTGGAGTCTCGGTCCCTTCAGTTCCACTTGTGCAAAAGCTTAAGCAGTCTCTGGGATAAAAAAAAAAAAAGTTTGCTGTTTTGGGGGAAAACACCCCGAGAAGCAGGTTTTGCCCTGAGCCATTTGTTTCGTGTTTGTTGTTCAGTTAAAATTCATTCTTTTATTTTGATTTGGGTACGTTTATCTCCTTCTTTGCACCTGGCAAATGCTTTAATAGCGTGCTTTGAGCTAGAAAGCTTCGTGCCAGTCCCTCTCATCTTTTTGCCTTAGTGGGAGCCAATCCCACTTCTCTGTAACATTTATTAACCTCTGCACTAAGAATATTTGGTATGTGCTTTGTGCGTGGGAGGCTGGGAAGCATTTGGTTTCCCTAGTTTTTCCACGGCAGGCTGAGCCAGAAAGTGAAAGAAGGAGCCTCTTCAGCTATTTATCTGTGTAGTCGCGGACAGATTTCATATCCCAGGCTGGATTCACGTCTGGCGGGACAGGACGGGGCTGGGGAGGATCAGCAGCATAAGCAGAGCAGAGGCTGATGTGGATACCCCTCTGTTCACTGCTCCGGCTGCAATTCTTTACCTATTCCAGCTCACCCAGCAGTGCCCTGCATCTCCCAGCGGCGTAACCGAGCTCTGACTAGCCCTGTGAGCGCTTGGAAATAGCTCTTTATGGATGTGTACGGAGTTTAGTACAGGAGGGTCCTCTCCTGATTGGGGCCTGGGAGAAAACAAGGAGAAAAAGATGAAAATTGCAGCTATAGGAGAAATATAGGTAGGTTTATTTTGGAGACCTGAACAAGGGGTTAAATCATTCCCCCCACCCCTCTCCAAGCTGGGAGCTTTCCTCTGGCAGTGAGGACAAGGCACTCGCAGCTTTCCCCTTCTATATGTGGCGTTTAGCGTGGGCTGGCGGACAGAGAGCGCCGTGCCCCACGCCACGAGAGCACCGGGTTTATTTTCCCACCAGTGGGCCGGCGGAAAATTTCCCCGTGGTGGGGAACTGCAGGTGCCGCAGGACAAACCTGCCTGCAAAGAGAAATGCTGTTAATGTGGGACCAGTCGTCCCAGTGACGCCGCAGGGGGTTGCGCTGGTTTGCAGGTGATCCCGGCTCGCAGCCAGCGCCGAGAGCTGGCACTGAAAAAGCTGCTTTTTCAGGCGGGGGCAACTCCTGCGTTTGGCATCGGTAGCGATGCTGTTTTGTTTTTAACCATGGAAAGATGAGGAGCCGACTGGGACTTGGGATTGGGAAGTGCCCGTGAGCAGGAGGAAGGGAGGAATTTTGTGGTTTTTGGAAAAAGAGAGCTGGGAAATTGCAAACACTGCGTTATTTGGAAGATACCTGAGAGTGTGTGTGTGCGCTGCGGGCGACGACTCGGGATGGCGGCAAGGATGGCACGGGGAGGAGATAGCCCCAGGAGAGGGTGTACAGCTCCGGCTGGTGGGGAGGGCAGCCACAGAGGATGGAGGTCCTGAGAAAAGCGCTCCTTGTGCTCTCCTTTGAACTTCAGTAGCTTCGGGCCGTGGAAGACAAAGCAAATTGGCTGCCGGTCAAATTTGCCAGTGAAACTGGCCCAGTTAGATTGCGTTGCAGTAACTAGATATGGCAGAACTGACTTTCTTCTTCTATTTCGATCCCTGGAGGCCAAGAAAAAAATATCCTCCACCCCTTCCTCCTTGGCATTGTTAGGACCTGGGATTAACACCTAGAAAATGCCAGCTCACAGGACTGGCAGGTCATCCCGTGCCGGTGGTGGAGCAGGGCCTTTGGTCTACCATGGGGCACAGGGATGGGATGGGATGGGATGGGATGGGACAGGTTGGGATGGGACAGGTTGGGATGGGATGGGACGGGATGGGACAGGTTGGGATGGGATGGGATGGGACGGGATGGGATGGGATGGGATGGGATGGGATGGGATGGGATGGGATCATCAGACGACAGAAGCAATCACAGAAACCAGCCCAAGAAGCTGATAGTTCCCTCCATCCATGGAAGCCACAGGGCTGTGTTTTGCTCAGGATGGAGTGAGAGCACGGAGCCATCCGGAGCATCCCAGGCGGCTCCCGAGCTCTCACCCGGCTGCTCAGAGCACTGAGGCCTCCGATGACAAATCCCTCTCTCTTATCAGTGGATTTCACGTTGCAGCAGGCAGCAAAGCCCTTGTGCCTGCCAACACAGGCCTTGTGGCTGCGCACTCGCGGGGGATGGCATCACCCCGTCGATGTCCATCCCTGCCCCTCCCCCTTGACGGCTCCCAGCACTGTGCATCACAAACCCACGCGGTGCCCGGCATCCCGGATTAAATGCGTCGAGCAAAACCTTTGCAAGCGAGAAGCAGACTCGTGCACAGGGAAGGGAAGCGCGGGCACGAGGGCAGGGAAGGAATGGGAGGTCCTTCCAGTGGGACTGGCCCTCTGGACATCTGGAAGATGTTATCCTGCGTCTGCGATGTCTCTTCAGTAGGGAGGGACAGGAGGTTAGATTCTTGTCCTTGAACTACAGAGAGTTTATAAGTCCGTAGTTGCCTTGCAGGAAGGCACCGAGGATAGAAAATATCAGGGAGTTCCTGGTCCAGCTCCGCAGCGGCGCCTGGGGCTGTATCGTTATTGCTAAAACTCATTTTGCAAAGCTGGGAGGTGTCTGGGTCTCAGCCCCCCCCATGCCACGGCCACTCCGGCTCCCCACAGCCGGCCGGCACCGGGGCTGTCACCACGCTGACCCCAACGGTTGCACTCCTGTCTCCCCACCTATTTTTCCTCCTCCCTCCTGTTCTTCCCTCCCTCCTTTGTCCCCTCTCTGTGCAGCGGCTGGTGGGAAGTTGGCTGTTAGCTGGGATGTGCAGGAATTGCTCCAAAGTGCAAAATAAGGTGTTTTAAAGGGAAAGATTGAGTTTCTGCCCATCTTCGCAGTTCTTGCAGTCATTGCTCTGTTCTTGGCCTGGCTCCGGGCACCCCCATTCCCTTCTAAATATTGGGAGGAGTGGGTATATTTAGAAATATTGTAACTACATAATAGCACGTCTTCTTAGTGATGAAAAGGGCAAACTTGGGTAACTAGGAAGCAGTTTATAAACAGCCCAAAATAGACGTGAGCTTTGCCCTTACTTCTCTGCGCTGGGCAGCCAAATTCACATCTTGGTGATGCATTAATTAATTAATCTTCATTTTGTATTGCTAGCAAGTGAAAGTATACCCCAGCTCAACAGCGGGGCTTGGGACAGTGCCTCTCTTCGGATGCGCTCAACGAGGCCGCCTTGTAGGTCCGTGGGTTGCGGGGGCCAAAGTTAAACTATTATTCACAGGTAGATAAATGAAGAGCTGATTTCTAATAGCTCGTGGCTCTTTACTGTAGCAGGCAAAGACATAAGGAAAGAGAAATTCAGGTTAGAAATATGCAGTAAAGTTGGAGCAGTGGCCTCAACTGAAGGATGAGTTACCTGGGGGTGCAGCTATCACTTGAAATCTTTGTCTGGTGCCTGGGATTTCTCTTCAGAAGAGGAAAAGCTGTCTGGGCCAGGGGCCAGGGCCTTGGGTGGCTCTGCGGAGGGGGTTTCTCTGGCAGCTGAGCTGCACGAGGAGATGGGTTTTGTGAGAGCTAGTCTGGTTTTGTCCAGTTCTTCCTCTGCTGTTGGTGACATCTTCTTTAAAAAGCATGTAGCCATGCGCATAGCACCATGATATACACCCTGGAGATACCCCCATCTGTCCCATTGGCGTTCGGTCACTCCTAACCCCCCTCAGGGGTACTTTTGCCAGGAGGGACCTGGCTGAGAAGAGCCATCCCGTGGGAAGGACCACCACTCCATGTGTACCACGTATGCTGTGGGGTCAGGTCGTTTACTGGAGGAGTGCTCCATAGCAGTTGCCGTGTCCATAGCAGGAGGTTTTACTTTTCAAAGCATGCCACAAAATCCACTTGCTGCTGTTCTTGGCTCTCCTTGGATTCCCACCTGGCCTCACCGCATGGCCCCGGTGGCTCCAAAACACTGAGCACACGGTGGCAGGGGCAGTCCCTCCTTATGCTCTCCTCCACCACCACCACCTTCCCCAGGCATGGATGGACCCTCCTTCCCTCTACTTCACCTGAAAGGAGAAGACACCTGGGTGTCCCAGTCCCATCGGAGTCCCCAGTCCTGCCTCCCAACAGGGCTGCACCGATGTCATGCTGCTTCAAGCAGGGTTGGTTGGGGAAATGCAGGGAAATTGAATGTGGGGACATTATCCTGCTGATGGAGGGGATTCATTCTGGGGCCACAAAGCCACTTCTTTCAGCAACACATGGTGGATATCTCTTTCCATGTAAGCCTCAGGAGCAGCTCCTTGGAGGAGAAAGCTCTGGACAGGAGACATTGGATGCCAGGGCAGATGGGCACAGCTGGGGCCCTGTATTTTTGTCTCCTGAAGGTTGAACACCCAGTGGGAAACAGGGGAAGTTGAGGTGGCTCAGACAAGTGTCTTCCAACACCTTTCCCCTTCCTCTCGGATGTCCCGCTCCCCACATGCACTCCTGCGCAGGCAGGACACCCTCCTGCTCCAGGTCCAGGCATCCGTGTCCCTGTAGGCTGCTTTGCGTGGCCTGGAGCTCCCGGGGA